CACGGCGGGAGGCCGTAGCTGCTTCTGCTCCTGCTTGATCGCGTCAATCTTGGTCTGCATCGTTTTCCGTAGCTCATCACCTGACTCGCCCTGCGGAAGTGTCTTGAGCGACGCCTCGAAGCAGGCGAGCTGAGCGGCAAGCTTGGCTCGATTATCTTCTTCTTTGTCATCAGCTTGAGGCTCCGTGGCGGCCGTAGGGTCCGCTTCCGGTACTCTTTGCCACGGTGCCTTCTCCTTCTCTTTGGCATCAGGTTGCCCACCGCGCAGCAGCTTCTCGATCTCCCCCAGGCGCTTGGAGAGCTCGAGGTCTTGCTTCGAACGGCCTGCTGCGCCACCTGCTGACCCAGGCGACTTGGTATCCCATATCTTCTGGTTGTCCCACGCCGACTTGCGGATTCGGGCGGGTGCGTCGTTGCCGCAGACGCACTTGATCCTGCAAGCCCAGTTGCTGCTCGCCCCGCAGCGGCCGCACGCCCACAGCGGGCGGCGCGGGCCGCGCAGCACGCTGGGCTGCGGCGGCTGCGGCACCATGAGGCGGAGGACTGTCGGGTGGCGGCGGGCGGCCTGCCACCGACGGGAATCGTGAAATCGGATGTCGGGCTGAACAGCCCTGGCACTGCTGCGGAATAGCAGCTTCCAGTCTGGCACGGAGGCGCGGAGCCACCAAGTGCAAGCATCTTGAGCCAAAATGGCTACGGAGGGGGGGAGGAGGGGGAGGAGGAGGAGGAGGAGGAGGAGGAGGAGGAGGAGGAGGAGGAGGATGAGGAGGAGGAGGAGGAAAGAGGGAGACAGAGGGCGAGGAGGAGGAGGAGGAAAAGGGAGGGCGAAGAGGAGGAGGAGGAGGAAAAGGGAGGGCGAGCCATGAGCATCGTTTAGCCGATCCCTATCCCCACGGGCGTGGCCCCTGGTCCAGCTGGCCGATTCGCCCTCCCGAATCTGGATGCAGGCTGCTCCGCGCGAGTATCGAGGGGCCTGATGGTGGGTATCGGGACGGGGATAAGCATCGGCGCAACGATACCGAGGCAACGGGGGCTGGCTGGCCTCCTCTGCCGTCGCCCCCGGGACAGGCTGCCGAGTGAAAGCAAGGCGAAGACAAACGTGGACGACGATACACTGGGGATATCTGCGCGAGGCCGTCGCAAAGCGCTCCACGACTGGACTAGCGCGTTCCAATACTCGCAAAGTAGCTACTCGCAAATGGCCGGGATCCGCCGCAGGGGATTTACGATATATATATATACATAGATGTATATATATGTATATATGTATGTATGTATGTATGTATGTATGCATGCATGCATTCATGCATGCATGTATGTATGTATGTATGTATGTGTGTGTATGTATGTATGTATGTATGTATGTATGTATGTATGTATGTATATATGTATGTATGTATGTGTGTGTATGTATGTATGTATGTGTGTATGTATGTATGTATGTATGTATGTATGGATGTGTGTATGTATGTATGTATGTATGTATGTATGTATGTATGTATGTATGTATGTATGTATGTGTGTGTGTATGTATGTATGTATGTATGTATGTATGTATGTATGTATGTATGTATGTATGTAGATATGTGTATATATATATTACACAAAAGGCAGATGTATGGTTTTGGGGACGTCTGCGAGTAAGCGTTTTGCAAGCAGAGGAGCGCGCTCGGCGCAGGACGCACCGAGAGCCTCCCCGAGCGCGCCGGAGATATCTATCCTCATCCCGGGCCTGCCTGGAACCAGGTCCTGGAGAACAAAGGGCAAGCGAAGCGAGCGAGCGAGCGAGCCACCACCGCGGAACACCATCCTCTGAGCCATATCTGAGGCCGGGCGGACGAGGCGGTGGCCTCCGTGTGTGCTGTCGTGTGTGGGAGAGTGCGCGCTGCAAGACGACAAAACACGCGTGAGGTGTGGAGGATGCGGGAAGGAGAATCCTTGTGGTCGGAGCCCGCGAGGAGAATCCTGGAGGCAAGGAGCCCTGGAAGGCAGGGGTAGACAGCATCAACATCGCATCGGACGATCCGACCGGATCGGAATGTGCGTCGGGTCGGACCGCATCGGCACGGAGTCAGGTCGAACTGGCGCAGCTGCGCCAAGATGCACCACCGCACCATGCGAACATCGGGCGGCATCGGTTCGTCGGAATGGCGGAATCGAATCGAGCCCATCGAGCTTGACATCGAATCGGAATGGACCCTGAAAGGGTCCTGGGCTCATCAAGATCGGTGTAGAGGCAAGGTCAGGCAGACCCTGCCTCAGGAAGAAGTCACGACGAGCGCTGCACTCGGGTCGATCGCGAAGTGCAGGTCAATGGACACAGAGCGAATGGGAAGCCACGGGACGTGCGCGCAGAAGGGGGGAGCCGCGGAAATGCAGAGCGGACTGGCCTGGCAGAGCGGAGGATCGGTGCATATGCCATCCTGGCCTAGTTCAGACGGCGTGTGCATCGATCTTGGATCCACTGGTCAGAATCGGTGCTGGCGTACTGTTGGCGCCGTCCGAGGGGGAGGTCAGCATGAAGGAAGCGGGTCTTGGAGGAGAGGGGTTCTGGATTTTGTTCGACATGTTCGGGCCTCTCGGGGTCCTCCACGGCCCCGCGGACCGTCAAATAACGACTGAAGATGAAGAAACTGGTCCTGAGGACCGCCCTGGGGCCTTGGACCACTTACCCTCAAGACAGATGTTCCCGTATGGCGACAAAACAAGCCGAGGGGAAACAAGGAGGACGACGCCGAGGAGGAGCGTCAGCCTGAAGGGCGCCGCCCAAAGTCCTGGGAGCTCAGCAAGAGAGAAAGCAAGACCAAACGGCTAACTCCGCGCGAACAGCTAGTGCACCATAGTAAGGGTTCAAACTACAAACCATCATGGGCTATCCCAAAGGCCAAACATATCCATCCGAGGGTAACTGCAGATAGCACCTCTTCCGCATGAGTGCGGACGGCTCGAGAAAGCTATAACACACACGAAACAACCATTGACTTAGGAAGGTCGACCGACTCGTGGATCTGGACTATACCACGCATAAGTGCAACGCGACAGAAGTGGACGGCGGAATTGCAACGGCATCATGGGGAACGCCATGAGCAAGGTCGTCCACGGCGACAACAGAACTTGAAACTGAACCGACAATGAAGCTGAAACCGAACAAAAAAACACAAGGAGAACGCAATCTAGAAGGACGCAACGGCGGATCACCCGACCGAACCGAACCGAATGCACCTGACTGCGAAACGATCGAACCGACCATATTGCGAACACCCTTGATGAGGCAAGGCGCGGACGGGTGCTTCAGGGTGCGTGGGAGTGTCGCAAATGCAGGCGAGATTGAAAGGAACCGAACGGGGGATCAGGCTGAGGTGCACGCGAATGCTGAAACGGCATGGGAACGTCGGGGACGAGGAGGACTGGGACCAGAATCGACCCAAGATGCGCCAACTGCGCTGCAATACACCTTCCCGTCCCAATTTCGCTCTACATACAGTCGAGGCGTTGACCTAAGGAACCCTAAATAAGGAACGAGGCCCCTAGTTTCCATAAATTAAGCTTCGATTTCATATCGAAAACCAAAGGAAAACCTGAAGCAAACTGCGAAACAATCAAGAAACACGGCGCCCCTCCCCAATGAAACGGGTTCCTTCTTCAGGGCCCCGACTGTAAGTCCCCTCTGCAAATGCTCATTTCACTCGGGGGGGCCCTTTGAAAGCCGAGCGTCACATTGCACACGGGCATATGCCCGTTCGGACGAGGGCCTCGTCCTGAGACATCATTGCCCTCACCCCTTTGAAGAGGCCCTGGGACACACAAATAAATACACACAAATAAAAGGATTCCCCATATTTTCTGGGGTTCTGTCTTCCCGCCCAACTCCCATATTTCCAATATTTTCTGGGGAATCGACGATTAATTGTGTCTGTGTTGTTTCCCCTCGTGACCCTTGTAGCTGCAATGCGTATCGAGCTACACGGCCGTACCATTCGGATGCGTAACAGTGGAGACCTCAATCCTGATCACCCATGGCAAAATGTGCGTGTTATGCTGCGAATTTATGCTTGGAAACATACCCAGTGGATCTTGGAAGGGTGTCAATCGATATCCTCGACGCGATAAAGAGCGGCCCTCCATTGTAACTGGTGCAACCGCTCAAAACACACGCGCTTGGCAATACGCCGAAGACCAACCGTCGGGAACGAGCCGCAATCCATCCGTGGAATTGTCGCAAACGCTCAGCTCGAACATGTCCTTTGCCGAAGCGGCAACTACACATTGTACACGATCCACCTTGCTTCTGCACACAAACATATTTTTCAAAGCAATTGATGCAATGTGCGCAACGCTAAGTTGATATAGCCGCAATGTGAAAATCACTCGCCCTCCATATGTGAAGCTACTGGGCAGATCGGTCCCCGCGATCATAAGACGTGAGGAGATCTCATGCGACATGCCAGTGTCTTACCGCCATGCCTGGTGGTGTGGCGAAAGGAATCTGCGTTTTTAATAAGGGAGGGGGGGGGGGGGCATGGAGTACAGGCAAGGAGGAGGAGGAGGAGGAGGAGGATGAGGAGGGATGGTGGAGACAGGATGCGGAGCAAAAAGGAGGAATGGGGGGAGAGGAAAGATGAGGATTGGGAGGAGGGTGGAGAGGTATGCCCCCCTGGGTCCCTCTAGAACCTCTGACCACGCTCGGAAAGCCCGCTGAACTCCCAACCCCCGAACCCATGCCTCTTCCCTCCCCTTCCTGGTCTTAGGACGATTCCGAAAATGTCAGAAATCACAACAACCATGAGGAGCATACAAAATAAGTAGAAGAAGGGCGAAGAAGAGGGGGGAGACGGAGGAAGGACGGGGAGTGTAAAAGGGGGGAGGGAGAGCGTGGAGTCGGGTGAAGGAGGAGGGAGGGGCAGAATGAGGGGAACCCGAGGGAGAGGAGAAGAGCAGGAGGGGGTGGAAGAGGACGGGGGTGGAGGGAGGAAAGAGACGGCCCCCCCCAGACGGCCCCGCCTCGCTCTCCATGCTCCAGCGGAACCTCTTTCCCAACTTGTCCGCGGGAAAGTCCGTCTGGATCTCCGCGGGCGAGCGATGGGGCTGGCGAGCTTTCCCGTCCCCTCCATGGATAAGACATATAGCAAGTGTTTACATATACATACATGCAACACGAAGTATGTGTGCATATTTACGTTTCGACTTATACATGCATATGTACATATGCGCACACGCATGGGTGGGTATGTGCATAGCGGGTTCCATACATGCATGCCTTTGCATCTGTATGTGTGTAATATGTATGCATATTTGTCTATATGTATATACATGTATATACACTTTTTACATATACATATGTATATGTAGTATGTACTAGAACCATCGCGCGCGCTTCACGCGCGCTCAGGTTCTAGCTAGGCTTGATCGGCTAACTCATGTAATATCATGTTGGTCGCTTCTTGCGTCCAGGGACTCCCTTGGAGGCTCTGCTCAAGCCTTGGAATCGTATAGAAGGGGAAGTGCGGAAACGCAGAATTCATTATTTTCCTTTAGGTATTCAACGATTTTGGGCCCTCAAAAACTTCCTGGGTTCTTTTTTTGGAGGTTAGGGGGGTTTGAATTGTGGTCTGTTGTGCAACAGCAGACCGGGGGCTAAACTTCAAAAACAAACGAATTGTGGGCTTTCCATTCTTTCCAGTTCCTCGGCGCTGTTCGGCGCTGTTTTGTGTTTGCGCCTCGCGGGTTTTGTTAGCCGGGCCCCTCAAGGGTGTGGGATCTTCTGGACCCCCTGGGGCTCCTGGAGGCCTCCTGGAGGCCCGGAGAGCAATCGGAAGGGTGTCTCGGGCTGCGCGGGAGCGTGTTGGGCCGTTCTTTACGTTCTGGAGGCTCCTTGGGGTCGTCATGGGCTGTCTTGGGCGTCTTGGGGGCCCCCCAGGAAGCCGGGAGGCGCGGCACTGGCCAGATGCCAGGGGATGTGTGGGATCTCCGAGTAAGTCGAAATCCTCGATCTTCGAGGATTGGAAGCGGGAAAACGTGAGAAGGCGAAAACATCAGAAAAACCATTGGAAATCAACGATTTTACCCTCTTTGGGCTCTCTCGGGACGGCTCTCGTAGCTCTCTTGGCTGTTCTCGGAGCCTCGTCGGGGTCTCTTTGGGGCCTCTCAGGGATCGGGGGTGTGTTGGGGACCTCTGGGGGGTCCCGGAGGCCGCTCGGAGGTTTCTGGAAGCCTCCTGCTCCCGCTCTTGAGCCCGTCTTGGGCCTGTTCTGGGGTGGTCTGGGGCTGTGCTGGGCGCCTCTTCGGCAATCTTGGAGCCTTCTTGGCCCGTCTTGGGGCCGTCCTGAGGGTCTCTTGGGTGGTCTTGGGGCGGCCTTGGGAGAGCCAAAAACATTGAAAAGACAATGAACATCTACGACTTTGGCCTCTTCGGGCCGTGCCTGGACGCCTCTCGGACCTCTCTTGGGGTCTCTTGGAGGTCACCTGGGAGCCTCGAGAGCCGTCGGAAGGCTGACTTGGGCTGCTTGGGAGCGTCTTGGACCATCCTTTCGCATTCTGGGGGCTCCTTGGAATCGTCTTGGGCCCTCCTGGAGCGCTGTGGAGGCTCCTCGGAACGCCCGGGGGAGCGGTACCGGGAGCGTTCCCGAGATGTCACGGGGAGGTGTGGCACCTGGGGCCGGGGGGGTGGGAACGGCATCTATTTATTATTATACTAGTGTGGACCCGTGGATTAAATCCACGGAGTTGAGCGGATCGAAGTTTTGTGGCGCGCGCTGGGTGGTACGACGCTTTCACCTACTGCAGCAGATCCTTTTAAACTTGTTCTGGAGATGTTCTCCCACCGAAGGCGCCGAATCCAGCGAGGCGGGCCGTCGGGGAGCCGCTAGGGAGCTTTTTGGGGCCCCTTTTGGGGGCCTCGCGGGGCACTCTTGGTCCGTGTAGGGGCTCTCTTGGGCCCTCTCGGGGCCGCATTGGGCGCCTCTTGGGTCGCCTTGGGGTCTCTTGGGGCCATGGTGTGCCGTCTTTGGCCCCTCTTGGGGTCCTCTTGGGCCCCTCTTGTGCCGTCCTGGGGCAGTCAGGAACCATCTTGGAGCCCTGTTGGGGACGTCTCGGGCCGCCTTGGGACGGTGTCGGAAGCCTCTGGGGCCGTCGTGGGCGCGTCGAAAACGGAAGAAGAGAATGTGCAGAAAGTAGCGATTTTACGAGGGGAATGCTACGATTTGTGTGTGTGGTGGGGCCCAATTTGGGAGGCATCTTGGGCCGAGTGAAGGCCGTCTTGGGCAGGCCTGGGACCTCGGGTGGCCGCGGGCAGGCTCGCCTGAAGTGTTCTGGGGTCGTTTGGAGGCTCTCTGGGGGCTCTCGGGGAGGCCAGGGCCACTAAGGGGTCTTTCGAATTCATTCGAACGGTTCTATACATCTAAATATACATATAGTATATTCATATATATATATATATACATGTATATGCGCATAATGCACTTACACATAATACATTTACACACATGCATCTACCATGTATTGGGCTCTTGTCGGGCCTCTGGAAACCTCCAAACCCATGAAAAGACCTCCGGCCTCCAGACCCACCCATCCGGAGGCCTCGGGAAGCCCGTCGTCGTCGTCGTCGTCGTCGTCGTCGTCGTCGTCGTTGTCGTCCTCGTCGTTGTCGTCCTCGTCGTCGTTGTCGTCGTTCTACTCCTCCTCCCACTGCGGCTGGTCCTCAACTCCTTATTGCTGAGTGCTCCCGCACCCTGCGTTCTCGGCCCGGCCGGGAGGCGGGGCGGGGGGCTTCGGCCTCCCACCGGCCACAGGCGGCGAATGTCCGAGGAAGCGAACGCTGCATAAACATATACGCTTGGAGGTCCGCGCGGACTCCTCGGATCTTCGCTGGACCCCCTCCCTGGCGCGGGCGCGCCAGGACCAGGAGTGGAGCCTGCGGCTTCATTTGACTCAGCACGGGGAAACTTACCGGGTCCAGACATGGTAAGGACTGACAGATTGATAGCTCTTGCTTTGATTCTGTGGGTGGTGGTGCATGGCCGTTCTAAGCTGGGGAGGGGGATCCAGCCGAAGTGCGGCTTTCCCTCCGCCGCTGAAGTTTTGGTCGTCGGCGCTGCCACGTGCGCGACATGCGCACAGCGCGTGGGGCAGGGCGAACTGTCGCCGTCGACGCCGCGACCAGGACGCCGTCCGACAGCACACAGCACGACCTCTGCTGCGGCGGTATCAAGGTGGACATTTGGTCTTCGGCGTTGCACGCGGATGAAAAGGGATGCGGCACCAGAAGGAAAACCGACATAAACGTAGACTATCGACCGTCCGCGCGGATGTCTTGGAGCTGCGCTGGAACCCCCCTCCCTCCCTGGCGCGCGGAACGCGCCAGGGGCGGCTCCGGAAGCGCCGCCACGGGGGCCCAGCGCGGACGGAAGAAATCCGCGCGGAGCGCCAAAAGTTTATGTTTATGGCGTTTGTTCTTCTTCGAGGCACTACGCGCGGCGCAGGGCGGACCGCCCTTCCCGCCTCAGCGCGGGGGACACCGTCGAGCCCAAGGCGTGGGCGCGGGGCCGAGGGGGCCGCCGCGCCGCCCTCCACCTGGGCCGATCTGTCCAGAAGACATATGGGCGCCGATCAACAAAAAAGTGGGTCTTGCGCGAGATGACGTAGCGACCTTACGCGGCGGCTTGTGCTGGCCGCCAGCGCAGAACGCCACACTTGAAGCGAGGGCGCTTACGCGCGAACTTCCGCGGTCAACTTACGCGCGGATGTCGGCGCAAACGACCCCGTTTTTTTACGTCGCTCATTTGGACACGTAGTACCCCGCAGTTGCGGACAAGAGGGTGTGGTGAGGGTGCCGTCTTTTGAACTCACAAAAACCAGCATCCTAGCACTGGCGCGCCTGAGGGTGGCACGCCAGGTCTGCGAAGCAGGCGTGTAGCAAGCAGAATCGTAGTCAGCAGTGCATGGTGATGGAAAACACCCACGCAGCGCGCACCCGAACCGTGAACATTTTGGCCCGTGGGTCGCCTCGTGCCGCGTGCGACGCAGCCACTGTAACTTAGCCTTCATCCTGAGAGCGTTAAAACATGCATTTGAGCGGTGGGGTCGTCGGCAGTCGGTGAGGCTCTACAGAAGCCCGCCGCATGCGCTGATGATCAAACATACTGTTCAACGAGGCCGCCGGAGGCGCCGAGCAATCGTCAAAACGATGTGGATGGGTCTCGGGTGGGTTGCTGGGGGGGTGGCGGGGTGGGTCGCCGGGCGGGATGCGGGCGAGGACGACAACAACAGCAACAACAGCAGCAGCAGCAACAACAACAGCAGAAGCAACAACAACACCAACACCAACGCCACCACCAACAAAACCAACACCAACAACGCCAACACCAACAACACTGGCAGCATCAGAAACAAGCCACCAACACGAACAGCACCAACACCAGCAGCAGCAGCACCACCAACAACACCAACTCGAACAACTCGAACAACAACAACAACAACAACAACAACAACAACAACAACAACAACAACAACAACAACAACAACAACAACAACAACAACAACAACAACAACAACAACAACAACAACAACAGCAACAGCAACAACAACAACAACAACAACAACAGTAACACTAATTTTAAGACTGTTCGCCCTTATATGCTCGAGTGTCCAATAACGCGTATTTCCCAAACCCTCGATACCCGCCCTCTTCGTCTTCGATCGATCCCCTTTTGGGAGGTATACCTTTCTTCCCTGCAGGCCGGGCCCTGGCAAGCGGCGGGGCGGCCGCGGACCGTCGGCCTGGCCAGCGGCAATGCTGATCGGCGGGGCGGCCGCGAGCCGTCGACCCGACCCCAAGAGGGACGGACAGGGGACCGACCACGACGACGACGACGACGTCGAAGACGACGGCGACGACGAGCGAAAGCGAGAGCGAGAGAGAACGACAGCAGGGCCACGAAGGGCACGAAGTAGGCCACGAAGGGCGACAGCGGGGACACGAAGGGAATGCGTATGGGGCCACGAAGAGCGCGAACGAGCGGGGGCCACGAAGGGCAGATAGTGCGGGGCCATAGAAAGCAACTATGGGGCCACTGAGGGTAGCAACTGGGCCACGTAGGACAGTGAGGGGGACACAAATGGCGACAGCGGGGCCACGAAGGGCATGCACATGGGGCCACAACGGGCGCAACGGGCGCGACTTCTGGATGCCTGGGTGTCGGGACCGCGGCGCTTTGGCAAATTGCAAGAAATTCCAACGCAAGGCTATTCTTCAGTAAGTTGCAAGCAAGTCTCCAGCGAGAGCGCGACTCCAGAGCGCCGGGAGAGCGATTCCTGAATGAATTGTAAGGAAGTCCCAAGCGAGAGCGCGATTCCTGAATCAAATGCGAGGAAGTCAGGGACGGGAGCGGGGGTCCTGGCTAAATTGTAAGGAAGTCTCAAGCGGGAGCCGTTGTTGTTGTAACCTGGGGGCCAGGGGCCCAGTTTGAGCATCAAGACTTACCCTGTCAAAAAACAATGTGCCAGCGTCGACTTTCCCTGTCAGCATCAAGACTTTCCCTGCCAAAAAACAGTATGCACCGGTGGGGGGGGATCAACAATAATTATTCTTAAGAAATGAAAATTCAACGACAATGTCAACAGCAGCAACAGCAGCAGCACCAACACCAACAATAACAAAACCAACACCAACAACACCAACAACACCAACACCTCCAACAACAGCAGCAACAACAACAAACGCAACACCACCACCAACAACAATACCAACACCACCAACAGCAACAACAACACCGACGACAACGACAACACCAACAGCAACACCACCACCACCAACACCAACAACGGCCGCAACATCAACAACAACATCAACAACAACCTCAACAACAATAACAATAACAACACCGCCACATCAACGCAACAACAAGCCGCACTGCGGAACCCCACTTCAGCCACGCGCCAAGGGACAGTGCGTGACCGTTCGGCCCCCTCACTCTGACGCTGTTGCTGTCTTCGTGTCCATCCCTCCTCCTTCCCATGCCAGCCTTCCCGCGGACACGTGGGCGTCTTTTACTTATTTCATTCGGCGTTTCGACATCGGACGGAAGGGGGGGAGGGGCCCTGGGGGGGGTCTGGCTCTGGGCCTCTGCTTCGTGCGACTGCTTGCAGCGGGACGTCCTACTGGGGAGACCCCGTCTGCCTGAGCGCCCGAAACAGCCAAGATCTACTAGAGGCTCCCTAGATGTGGTCCGAGTAGATGGGGTCGGAGGATCGCGCCGCATCGCCGATACATCAGCGATGCATCGTCGATGTATCGGCGATGCATCGTCGACGTCGGCGATGCATCGGCGACGTCGACGTGAAGCGAATCGGGCTCCGCATCGAGCCGCATCGCCGATGCGTCGGCGATGCGGCGCGATCCTCCGACCCCATCTAATTACTCCGACCCCATCTAGGAGGCCTCGATCTACTCCCCGGGGGGGACGGAGGGGGGGCGAGGGCCTCCTCTTCTGTTTCTTCCTCCTCATCTTCCTCCTCCTCCTCCTCCTCCTCTTCCTACTCTTCCACCTCAGCCTCCGCCTCCTCCTTCTCCACCTCCTCCTCCTCCTCCTCCTCCTCCTCCTCCTCCTCCTCATCCGCCTCCTCCTCCCTCCTCCTCTCCTCCTCCTCCTCTAGTTCCGCCTCCTCCGCCTCCTCCTCCTCCTCCTCTTCCTCCTCCTCCTCCTCCTCCTCCTCCTCCTCCTCCTCCTCCTCCTCCTCCTCCTCCGTGCACCATCACCGCGTCGCAAGCTCGCGCCCTGAACTGCATGGCCCCCCCGTGGCCCTCGCTGGGCCACGGGGGGCCGCAGGCAACGACCCGGGAGGAAGAGCGGCGCCCGGCTGAGAGGTCCAAAGCCCCTGCGGAGCCACGATGCGCCAACGTCACGCCGTTGGATGTCTGGGCTCCCAAGGGTGGGAGGAAAGAAGTGGGAGGCGATGTGAGGAAGGACCCTGGAGGAGGAGGAGGAGGAGGAGGAGGAGGATGAGGAGGCCTGCTGTGGAGCCCGTGGGTGTGGCCGCCAGCTCGCACGGGGGCGCTGGCGAGGGCGAGTCCCAGACCCAGAGCCCGACGTTGGGAACGGGGACGATGTCGGGACGGATGGCGGCGACTGCACTGCTGTTGCAATCCCCGCCCGAAGGGTCCTGTAGGTCCCAAAGTCTTCCACGTCGCCAGAGTATGCAGTATCTCAGAGATGGGACGGCACTAGACGCCGTCGCGCCTGGCCGCTGCGTCGGAAGTATCCCAAATCTTCTCCGCACGCGCGGGCCACTGGCCACCATGCAGCATTGCATCGCACGAACCTGATAGTCCCACACGCGGGCCAAGAAACGCGGGAGCGGACACCATAGAAATGGATACACCCGATCGGATCGAAACGTGCGTCGGATCGGGCCACACCAACACGAAGTCGGAATCGAGTCGGATCGGCCGCGCCAGGATGCACCACAACGCCACGCAAACATCAGGCACCATCAGATCGTCGGACT